TCATCGTCATACATCTAAATGTACATGCATGTTTTAATGATATAGTAGGTTAAGTTGAAGATGGATACGAATAATATATATCAGGTTGCTTGATGGTCTTTAAATCCTATAGAAAGAGAACAAGCTATTGCTTCATCCATTAATTGGTACTTCGTAGAATGTGAAATAATGTATGAAAAAGTATTTATCATAGTATTTGGGTACTAATAACCTTTAATAAGTTAATAAAATGAATGTTTTGTAGAAGTTTTTAACACAAGGCTTTCAAAATAAATATTGAAAAAAGAAACTTGCAAAAACAAAAATACCCAAAAATTCAATTCATTTCCCTTCTTAAGTTACCACACAATCAAGGTTAACAAGTACGATCTACACAAGTCTCTAATTTAGTAATTTAATTATCAAGGGAAAAAACCAAACTAATAACATTTGATAACGCCATATATAAATTTAAATTAGTATCTCTCAAAAAAGTAGTTTAAGAAATTCCTTAATCATACATAAGATAGAAAATTAGTCATATCTCAATCCTTGATCTATTAGATGACATGTATTTTCCTAAAGTGTCAAAAATGTCTTGTAAACATCATTTTTTTTTTCTCCTTTTCATTTTCCTTTGCTAGTATTGTATCGTAGTAAATTCAGTTATTGTCTTTTAATATAAGTTCTTGTTCTCTATTTTTTCTACGTCAAGTCAAACTAAATCTAATTTTATCTTAGTGGCTCTCCTTTAACTCGTAAAAAATGAGAAAGACGTTGAGTAATAAAGCTAATAAAAAGTGAGTACCATGTTGTTTGTTGGTATTATCGTGTTAGTACATTAATTTAGACATAACAAGATAGAAGAAGGAGGAAGAAGATTAAACTTAAAGGACGAGAGATACCATAAATAAAAAATGAGAAACTAATAAGAAAGTAAGAGTCGGAGTAAATAGAAGGTTCAATAACTTGAGAAGAGAAGAGGACACATTTTTAACTTTTTAGGGTTTTTTAGTCCAACTTTGTTATGCATATAATATATCTATATATAGCAATCAATATATATTAATTTATTTTTAACAATTATTTACTTGGACAAGAATTGTACTAGGTTAAGACTACTTCTTTTACTCCATATAACACGAAGGGTTGATTATCAAACATATATCTGGAATTGAGTTTTACATAAAATTAAGGAGTGTAAATATCTAAAATTAAAAGAATATTTTTAATATTGTAATTAAATTAAGACTAATCTTGGTTTAACTTTATTATAAATTAATTAAAACACTAACCCAATAAAAAGACGCCAAATCAACAACATAAGACTTATATCGGTTATTAGCTGTCACATCAAACCACGTCACCTCACCTCACCAGCTCCGCCGTTATAAAAAATTCACCGAGGATGGTACCGAGAAATTTCCTCCTGATTTTTCTTTTAAATTTAAAATCAACTCAGCCTAATTATCGTCGCTATAATTTGATTTCTACCAGCAAAAAAGCAACAGGAAGAAGAGGGGAGAGACAGAGACATACACATAGGGATAGAGATAGTGGTGGGAGTAGTGCGCCCCTCGATGCGAGCGTGAGAAAGAAGATCGCCATTGAATTGAATGAGCTCTCTCTTTTTACGCTTGTTTTCCATTTCACTTTTGTTTTCTCGAGAAACAAACACCGGCGAACCTTTCGTGATAACTGAATCAAACTCGGTAATCTCCAAAATCTTAAAGACTTTCTTGTTCTCAGTGATTTTCGTTTTGTTTCATTTCATTTTTCTTATTTTTTCTGCATCTTTTTTTTTTTAAAAAAAATTTCACATATTCGATTTTCGGTGCTTTCAAACTCGGTAATCTCCAAAATCTTATACTTGTTCCAGTGATATTTTCGTTTTGTTTCGTTTCATTTTAATACAGTTTCATATTTTGTCTGCATGTTTTTTTTTTTTAAATTTCACATATTCGATTTTCAGTGATTTGGCGGTTGGATTTTTTCCCGGGGAAGTCCTGCGAGAAAATTTCAACTTCGATTTCGCAAATGGGGAAAGGTGGCCAAGACTACGGTAAGCAAGAAATCATTAGCCGAAGACAGACTGATCCAGAGGCTTTCCCTGCTTGGGGTAAAGATGTTCAGGAGTGCGAGAAATACTACCGAGTGAACCGGAGATTGGGCCTGTCGACAGCCGAAGTCGAAGAGAGGCGTAAGATCTATGGTTTCAATGAGTTGGAGAAACACGAAGGCCCATCGATTTGGAGTTTAGTCATCGAACAATTTAATGACACTCTAGTTCGGATCTTACTCGTTGCGGCGGTTATTTCCTTTGTGCTTGCTTGGTATGATGGTGACGAAGGCGGTGAAATGGGAATAACTGCGTTTGTTGAGCCTCTCGTCATATTCTTGATTCTGATTGTTAACGCGATCGTCGGGGTTTGGCAAGAGAATAACGCCGAGAAGGCTCTAGAAGCGTTAAAAGAGATTCAATCGGAGCACGCGGCGGTGATTCGTGAAGGGCGTAAGATCCCTGACTTGTCTGCGAAAGAGCTTGTGCCGGGTGATATCGTGGAGCTTAAAGTAGGCGATAAGGTGCCTGCGGATATGCGAGTAGTGGAGCTGATTAGCTCGACGCTGAGGGTGGAGCAGGGATCGCTCACTGGAGAGAGTGAGGCCGTGAATAAGACCAACAAGGCAGTCTCCAGTGATGCTGATCTTCAAGGGAAGAGATGCATGGTTTTTGCAGGGACGACTGTTGTGAATGGGAATTGCTTATGTTTGGTCACGCACACTGGCATGGATACTGAAATTGGTAAGGTTCATGCGCAGATTCACGTGGCGTCACAGAGCGAGGAGGATACACCATTGAAAAAGAAGCTGAATGAGTTTGGGGAGGTGCTAACTATGATAATTGGAGTCATATGCGTGTTTGTGTGGCTGATTAACGTTAAATACTTCCTTACTTGGGAGTATATTAATGGATGGCCGAGAAACTTTAAGTTTTCTTTTGAGAAATGCACGTACTATTTCGAGATTGCCGTGGCATTGGCTGTGGCCGCAATTCCTGAAGGTTTGCCGGCAGTAATCACGACGTGCTTAGCTCTTGGCACCCGTAAGATGGCTCAAAAAAACGCCCTTGTGCGTAAGCTCCCCAGTGTTGAAACCCTAGGTTGTACGACGGTGATTTGTTCTGATAAGACCGGAACTCTGACTACCAATCAGATGGCTGTGGCGAAACTTGTAGCCATGGGTCGCACGGCTGATAGATTCAGGAGTTTTAAGGTTGATGGAACCACATATGATCCCCGCGATGGGCAAATACATGACTGGCCTACAGGTCGCTTGGATGCTAATCTTCAAATGATTGCGAAGATAGCTGGCGTTTGCAATGATGCTGGTATTTCTCAGTCAGAGCATAAGTTTGTAGCCCATGGAATGCCTACTGAAGCAGCTCTAAAGGTAGTACACACTTAGCGTTTCTCATATTCGTGTATTTTATTGAGGTATTTGTTCTCTTTTTATTAGTGAAGGTTCCCGATGACTCCTGCAGGGGACATGACAGAGGTCTTTAGTAAATGCATTCAGTAAAATGAGAACGTCTACTCTTATTGAAACTAGCCAGTTAAGATGTCAAATTAGTGAAGCTGAAATTTATTATTTTTTCTTTCTTGTCATTCAGGTTCTAGTTGAGAAAATGGGCCTTCCGGAAGGGGCAACCGGCTGCAATGATCTTCTACGTAAGTTGAGACTTGTTGGACCCTTTTTTTTTTCTCTTTTCATTCTTAATGTTTCCCTTTGAATTTGACTTGCTTTATTTTCTATATCAAAAGGCTGTTGTCAGTGGTGGAATGAATATGCACGTCGGGTTGCTACTCTAGAGTTTGATCGTGATAGAAAGTCCATGGGTGTTATCGTCGACTCCCGTGCAGGCAAGAAATCACTCTTAGTGAAGGTGGGTTTTGTTCTTGTCCTGACTATTGGAAAATTATTGTGAAATTTCTATTACAATCTTCCTTCTCTGAATTTTTATTGCGTATGAGTTCCATTGATTGATGGATATTCTTTGTCATGGAAAGAACCAGTTATTTTCAAGTCCATAACATTCCCCATTATGCATATCAAATGCGAAACAGATAATTTTGAAGTGTTCAGCATCTTCTTGAGAAGATTTACGTTTGTTTTAGAAGAGAAGTGTTCAGAATCTCTTAATCCCGCATGCATGGTAGGATTTTATTATATCAAAATTAGGTTGTAGAGGATTCTTGTTACTCCTGTCTCGTAGCTGTGATGTGGTATTATTGTACATATTAAGTTGCAGGCTATAAGGGCCATGCTTATTCTGAGAAATAAGAACAGGTAGTCTTTCTAGAGTTTGATTCTGGACTGTGTAGCAGCAGTCTGTGACTGTAGACAGTCAAGTATTCCCTAACTTCATATTCATTCCGAGATTTTTTAATCAGTTTCTTGTGTGATAATCACTAATAATGCAGGGTGTCTGCATATAGGGGATCTTTTGTGACATTAGCATGTAATTGTGAAAGCTGCACCGGAGTTATAATATCAATTGCTAATTTGACAGGGTGCTGTAGAAAATTTATTGGAGAGAAGCACAAAGATGCAGTTGCTTGATGGTTCTGTTGTCCCCCTCGATCAACATTCGAGGGGGCTTATCCTAGAAGCACTTAATGATATGTCTTCCGGTGCATTAAGATGTTTGGGTTTTGCATACAAAGATGAGCTGCCTGAATTTGAAACCTACGATGGTAGTGAAGATCACCCTGCTCATGAGCTTCTTCTTAAACCATCCAACTATTCATCAATTGAAAGTGGACTAACTTTTGTTGGTTTGGTTGGACTGAGGGTAAGTCGAAAAAGAAAAACTGGGATCCATGCCTTTTGTTTCCTGTTCAAATCCTTTGTTGTTTCTCCAATGACACTTGGTTGTACCTTTTTAATTTTCTCAGGATCCTCCTCGGAAAGAGGTTTACCAGGCAATTGAGGATTGCAGAGCAGCTGGCATCCGTGTGATGGTGATAACAGGAGATCACAAGAATACGGCTGAAGCTATCTGTTGTGAGATTGGTGTATTTGGAATTAGTGAAGACATCAGTTCAAGGAGTTTAACGGGAAAAGAGTTCATGGAGCTGCATAATCAGAAAGCACACTTGAGACAAAGTGGTGGGCTTTTGTTTTCTAGGGCTGAGCCAAGACACAAACAAGAGATAGTGAGGTTGCTGAAAGAAGATGGAGAGGTTGTTGCCATGACTGGTGATGGAGTAAATGATGCACCTGCCTTGAAACTGGCTGATATTGGGATTGCAATGGGCATATCCGGCACAGAGGTATTTCATCTTTCATCAGCTGTTATCTCATGATTTCTTTTGAAGGCATATTTCATCTCTTTGTTGTAGACAAATAAATATAAAACAATGGAAATGCTAAGAAAATTAAGGTAGTGTTGGTATTGCAAAAATTATAGCACTGCACTCCAGGATATTGTTCAACTCTTTTTCTGAGAAAAAATACAGAACTGAACAGCATAAAAACTTTTGTTTTGAACAACTTTGTTACTGAGAAACACTGTTCTATACTAAATTGGAGAACAAATTTATTTATTTATTTGAAATTCCAGCCCCAAAAACTAACTAGGACTGAGGAAGGGGCCCCCATGTTAGAATTCTTCTAACCGGCTTCGTGCAGAAAGCCAATCCTATTCCTCCGTGCCTCAATCCACTCATGCGGAACTGTCGCATTCTCTCTTAGGGTAGGCTTAAAGCACTCCTGCCCTTGGCCATCCCATGTTCATTAAGGCATGATTTGGCCTTCCTGATGCAACTCTATTGATTGGGATGATGGTGGAAGGTAGAGAGGAGAGGGGGATGATGAATTTTTATCTTAAATTCTTTTTTAATTTCATTTAATGATTTGATTGAGTGGATTAATTAGCTTATTAAACTTATTAATGAATTAAACTTAACTTGTGTTATTTCAAAAAAAAAAACTTATGTTTAGCTTACTTATTATAGAATGATTAATAACTCAAGAAACAATTATTTTTTATTTAATTTATTAATTTCCTTCTAAATTTATTTACTAATTGATTAAATTTAATTCATTTTTATAACTTAAAAGAATGTAAGATTTGATTTAATACTCTTAAAGACAGAATAATTGAACTTTAAATATTGTAAGGGTATTTAAGTATATAGTCTATCTTCTCATGTTCATTGACCAAAAAACGTAAAATCAAATTTGTACCATCCAGTGCTATGTAGTCCTGTTTGTTTCTTTTGCAACCTCCAAACATCATACTAATTTAATTAGTCCTGTTTGTTTCTATCTTATGTTGTTTTCTTTATCAAATGCATACCACACTACGTAAGCAATAACCAGATTATCTTATGTTGAAGTTTAACAGCATGGTCAGATTATTTTTAATTGGAGTACAGACGATTAGCTGTGGGTTGCATAGGTTAGAGGAGTGATGGTGGCTTTGGAACTCTGGAACTGGTTACAGGCCTATACAATGCAATAACCAGATTTATCAGAATATATTCCCCATAATTATTGTCGTTAATGACATCCCCATTTACCTTGCTGTTCTGTTGTGTTAGTGTAAATTATTTAGTTGCTTTTTTGTTGGTGGTTCCTCATCAGCTTAAATCTAAATACTCAACTTTTAATTTTCTCTCTTTGCAGGTTGCAAAAGAAGCATCAGACATGGTGTTGGCAGATGATAACTTCAGTACAATAGTGGCTGCTGTTGGGGAGGGTAGATCTATCTACAATAATATGAAGGCTTTTATCAGGTTTGCTTGTTCATTCTACAAATCTGTTTGGTGCCAGATGGTTCAATTTTTTTACTGTATATTTTCCAAACCCTCAGCAATTTCCAAATTTATTATCATTATTATATGTGTGCTTTGAACTGCTATGAAAGCTGATGTTTTAGGTTTTAATGCGTACATCTGTATGGAGACTTATTTCCTGCACTCTCAATGGTTCAGGGAATACAAACAAATTGAATAGAAATTGGAATAAAAATATTATTCCATGTCCAGTTCAAGTTGATTGTTTTTTATTCTTACCATAATCATTAGGGGTACAAGTACATATTTTGGTTGAAGTTATGAATAAAGGGATTTCATTATGTATTAGATACGTAAGTTATGACTCATACATATTAACTAATTAAATTCATGAAATTAATGGAAATGAAACAGGTTTTAACCAAATACAAGTTAAGTGGTTCCTGGACTTTGGAAAAATTGATAAAATGGCTTAGCAGGCATTTCAAATTTTTTTTGGGGTGAATAACTGACTAATGATTATTCTGGAGAAAGTCCGATTTAGAAGAAAGTACCTGTGTTAGAGTAGTTTGTTCCTCTTATATCTTCATGTTGCTTGATGGGTGTGTGAATCTTTCTTTTGTATAATTAACTTCCATTGAGAAAATAATTTTCTAAGTTCCTGATACTTATCTTAACTCTTTCTGGGTTATTTTTCTAGCTCATGTAACTCTGGTGCATAAAGTTCTACTTCATTTTCGTCCACTGAATATTAGGGCATGATGGTGTTACTGTACAAATAAATTACATTCTAAACTGCATATTTGGAGAAATTGTGGCGTAACCAATGCTTTGTATTAATTATGTTTATTAATAGGTCATTTGTCATTGTTTCATAAATTAAACTGTATTCCCTGACAAATTTCCAGTAACAACCATGAAATGTCACTCTCCTGAATTGTATTGTTTCAAGTTTAAACCTCGGGTATTGTAGATTTGTATTGATCATGAAACCTTTCTGTATTTTTTAATTTGTTCTTGTCTTCTCGTTACCAGTTATATCTTAAGATATACCAGGACATGTGTTAATTTTCATTTATGATTTGAACTGCTTTTCAGGTACATGATCTCTTCAAATATTGGTGAGGTTGCCTCAATTTTTTTGACGGCGGCTTTAGGTATCCCTGAAGGCCTGATTCCTGTCCAGCTTCTGTGGGTCAATCTTGTTACTGATGGACCACCTGCAACAGCATTAGGATTCAATCCTCCAGACAAAGATGTAATGAAGAAGCAGCCTCGTAGAAGTGATGATTCACTTATCACTGCGTGGATTTTATTCCGCTATCTGGTAATTCATTTGCAAACTTCTAGACATCTAAAAACAGAATCAACTTCATTTTGGAAAATCTCTTAGCAGAGTTGTTAAGATTTATTTGGAAGTGAAACTGTCACTTTATCTATTGCAATACTCTGCAGGTAATAGGTTTGTATGTGGGGATAGCTACCGTTGGCATATTTATCATCTGGTATACACATGCTTCCTTCTTGGGAATTGACCTGAGTGGGGATGGGCACACCCTTGTCACCTATTCTCAGCTTTCCAACTGGGGACAATGTTCAACATGGGAGAATTTTTCTGTTTCACCCTTCACAGCTGGGAATCAGGTCTTCTCTTTCAGTAATCCCTGTGATTATTTCCAGGCTGGCAAAATAAAAGCAATGACACTCTCCCTTTCTGTGTTGGTTGCTATTGAAATGTTCAACTCCCTCAATGCCCTTTCTGAGAATGGAAGTCTCTTAACAATGCCTCCATGGGTCAATCCTTGGCTCCTTGTAGCCATGTCTGTCTCATTTGGCCTACACTTCCTTATCCTATATGTCCCATTCTTGGCTCAAGTATTTGGGATTGTACCTCTAAGCTTCAACGAGTGGCTGCTGGTTTTAGCTGTTGCATTGCCAGTTATATTAATTGATGAGGTGCTAAAATTTGGGGGAAGATGTGCTAATGGAGCTCAAAGATCTGCCAGAAGGATATCTTCAAAACGCAAGTCAGATTGAGGCCACAATTCATCATAAGTTCATGCAAGATTCTAATACGTTCATGCAGGAGTTGTTTTGTCCTGGTGCCAAGTGAAATGGTAATCTTACACGGGCAAATTTTTATCAGTTTTGTTAGTCGACAGACCTATAATCCTCAGCCCATTTATTGCAAACGGATATTCTGGGGTGCCAGGAACTGGCAGTGTTTTCCCTCCCCACACCCACTAAGTTTTATGAAACAAAACTCATTCTTTTACTGTTAGAGGAATTCAACAAATTTTGCAGTTCAACTGTGTTCAACTTGCTACTTGGTTGACTTGCCGAGGGAAAAGACTTACCAAAGATAGGTTCTTCAAGAATTCAATTTGCTGACAGCTAATTTTATTCATTCGTGCGATTGACTTCTGCTTCCTTTGTTGCCAGTTTTAGATCTTGTAGCAACTCAACATGGAGCTCCTAGCTGTTACATTGGGAATGCCTGTTTTAGCAGCTCGACAAATCACTGATTGCGGTCACACTAAACATCATATATTGAAATGCCTGCTAAAGTAACCTTCCTAAACATCAGATCATAATAGCTCTAAACACATATGTTATACAAATGGTTTTTCTTTGTATTTGCATGGGTTGCTTTAATCAGGAGCTGCACTCTTGAGAAGGATGAGCTTAAATAATTTGATGTCATCACCTATTACCAGATTTAGCCATATGGTTTAGCTTAAACCGAATCTTCCATGCTTCACGGTACAGCTTGCTTCTTGGGTTTAACTAAACTATTAGATCATGTCCGAAGCCAATCAAGTTGATAAATTTCCAGACGTTTCTAACACCTTGGTTCATGTCAGTATTTTTGATTGTGCAAGAAATGTTTCCATGGAGGTAATGACCGAATTAAATTACTAATTTAAATGTTTGTAGCACTAAATTGTTTAGAGAGGAGAAAATAAATGAAGAGTTAAATTTGAATAGTATATAGATATATATATTTTCCTATTGATAGTATAATGCTCTAAAGCTGAGACCAAATGAAAAAATTAAATTAGTTGGACTTAAATACATCATCTACGTAGCTAAAATTATTATAGAAAAGATGATATATTTTGACCCAACAGAAATGTGGAAATAATTCTCATGAAAAATTGTTAGGCATCCAAACTCTCCCAACTAAAAACTACATCTCTTACGGGTCTGTCTTTGTTTATTTGTTATTTTTCTTTTGTTAAATGTGTACGAAATGTGTCATGCAAAGATGTAATTGAACTCAAAATTTCAAACCACATATTTGCATTTTTTTTTTTTACTATGAATCTTGACTCAATTAATCATGTAATTGTGCCAAAATAACCAAAAGTAAAAGAAGCATTTAGTTAGCAGCATTGGTTATAAGAAGGAAGAATTTAGTTAGTAGAATGTATTCAAGTAGAACAAACGGGGACCTAAACGAAGATAAAATAAAAGGGTAACGAAATGCATTGAATTCTCATTATTAAAAAGTGCCTCATCAAATGTATAACTATAAATCAAATGATCTATTTTTAGTTATACATCCATCAAATATATATAAAAAAAAAAATTATTGGAATTTCAAGTATATTGATTTCAAGGAAAAAGAAAATAAATAAATCACTTGAGCTCTTCTAACAATGGAGAGTTTGAGCAACTCATGTGGACTTAAAAGCCATAAAGGTCTTCCAATGTCTTGGCTAGTAGGACCATGTTGTGCTTCTTGATAAGATACACGAATACCATTTGAACTACATCTTTATTGTAGATCAATTTATTTTCTTTAGTAGCTTTTTGTTGCTACTTAATTAAGAATTCGATGATATTATTGTCAAATATTTAAGTATAACATATAATTCAATGTTATAGACGTATTATTTCATAAAATCTATAATTATATTTTTCAATTAGTTTTTACTAATTCTTCTTCCTTGTAGTATTATGAAATGACAATTCTTTCTAGGAAAAAGAGGAAAATTTTACTCATAATACTCAAGTATTGTCTTAATAGTTGTATGTTAAATCATCTATTTTATCAAATTTACAATGTTGGTAAACAAAATCTAGGTGGTAATTTATCATTACCGTCTAGAGTGAGTTCTTTCTCCTACAAGATATAAATGTTCTGCATTGAGTTATCTTTTGTTAGAAACATGAATTCTCAATGTTAGCTTGTTTCTTTTGGCTAGTCCTTTAAAAGTTATTCCTTCCCATTATATTAGTCATAAGTTCATCAATTTGTTTCCTCATGGCTCACATTTTGGTCTTTAGCATCTTGTCTGATGTTTCTAAAGTTTCTTTGGGTTCCTCAACGTTAATGTGGTTTGACATCATGGTCTTACCCTTGGATACCTAAGGTGCTCTTTTAAGTTATTGACAACGATCTCTTGTGATTTCAAGTGAGAAAGATAATACTTGCGATACAAAACGTCAACAATATATAATAGATGTATGTTTCCATGTTATATCATATCTCATGTTTAATTTTCAAAAACGTGTAAAGCTTTTTTAACATTGCTTCTTCTATATTCATTTCATTTCAATCATCATTCTCCCCAAGTTTTCATAGATCTTAGCAGAGACACCAAAATTGAATAACAAAAAATTAAATAACTCTCAAAATCTAAAAAACATACATAAAGGAACATTTTATAAAAATAGCGATCATTTTATGTAAAATGCAATGCCAACTAAATCATCCTACTACAAAGTTATATATTTACTACAAATACAAAGGTACCTCAATGATTTCTCTGGATGCAAAAACATGTAAAAAAAATGGTATTTCTCATGAAAATTTCTAAGTTAATGCATTAGAAGACTTCTTGCATTGCTTGCGGGAGGTACACCTATAAATTACATGGATCTTAGAGGAATATAAGCACATTTTTCTTATACGGACATGTTAATTGCTTTACTATACTAATAGGTTATCAACATTAATATGCACAATGTATGTAAGTGTAGTGTCACAAGATTATTATTAAGAACAAAAGACGAGTTGATAGTATGATTGTATTTAGAATACTCAACTTCCTCTCTCTAATAGGGTCACAATTTATAGGCATAAATTTTTACAACTTCTCTTCAGTAACTATAACACCGTAGAACTCAAAGCTTTAGTGATAAAAAATCTAGCTTGCAACTTACAATGCAAAAACAATACCACCCAAATAATAGTTGAGAACCACTAGAGTTACATGACTATCCCTTGCCATGAAACATAACCAATTATCCTATTGATGAGTTCAAAATATAAGCACAACTTAATGAAGGTTATAGAACTAAGGATTCTACCAATCTAGTCTAAATGTTGGCCACTTACTAATAATAGTGCTAATTAGTCAATTTTTGCTTAGGAGAATGATCTTTTTATAATCATGCGAGTAGTTAATAAACACATAATAGATAAAGTATAAAAAATAAAATTCTAAATTATTCATCTATTACAATATTTACAACAAATTTAAACATCAGTAGCATAATCTGTAGCTAATTTTTACGACTTCAGCTAAACATGATATTTCTACTCTAGTTACAGAATTTGTCTGAAGCAAAATACGTATTTAAACTCGTCCTTGTGTTTGTGATAATTTACTAACATTATCTTTAAAACTGTTCTTGGCTCCATTCCCTTTTCACAAGGTGAAATCCATAATTTAAAACTCATTGATGTTTAATCATCAGCAACATATTTTTATTCTTTCCCCAGTTTGTCTAATTTTTTTCACTGCAAAAATTATTTTAGAATTCATTTCTAAATTGTTATATTTTTTAGAATTTGAATTTAAACTTTTATAATAAAAAATCAATTATAAATATAAAAGACTATAGAAAGAGTCTACTCTAATTTATTGTTTTTTTTTTCTAATTTTTACGATGATAAAATAATATATAAAATTTTCATACCAATTTTGGGAGAAAAATGAGAGATTATAGTTAAACCAAAAAATCAAAGAGTTATGTGTATGTGTATGTGTTATATATACATATATATATATATTTATAAATGAATATATACTTTTGTAACGGTCTGGAACTTAAAAGGAAATAAAATCATGAATTAAATGCGGAAGCGAAACAATAGATTTTAGGGTTATTTCTTACACAATAATTTAGAATGCTCAACAGGGATACGAGAACCACCATTCTAAAAGAACAAACAAAATTAAAGAAAAAATAAATACATATGCTGAGCATTATAGGACAACCTTCACTAGCTTTTAAAGGAAGTCCGGGTAGTGAACTATTCACAATCCTTTTGTTGATGGGGATGTGAGTTTTATTCATTTTGATCTGAAACAGTTAATGAAAGGGTGATGTACATTACCCCAGTAATAATATCACACTACTCACCGATACAGAAATTAAATATTAGTAAAAATCATAAAAATAACCAATGAAACTCTTGATTTAAGTAAATTTATTTATCATAAAGAAAATCATTTATTACATATATTTACTGTTTGTGAGATTTTCAAAATCGATCTATAGAGACAATAATCCAAATAACATTCTAATCTTATATTCAAGTGAGTAAGAATAATAACTTTCCCTCTTTATTTGTCTAATAGGATCCTTGGGGGCCCATAAGGATATCCCACTATGCGTGAACCATTATTCAACATTGTCAACTAACCGGTCGTCTCCATACCCTGTTCGGTATGAGCACCAAGAATACAATCCCTCAATACCCCATTCGATATGAGGGTGAAACGGGTCATCCTCGTACTTCGTCCGACATGAGCGAAAAAAATATCAATTCTCGATACCTTGTCTGGTATGAGGCAATGTTCACGGTAGGGTTCTCTATATACCCAGTTCGTCTACCATCTCCCAAGATATACAGTAAGGCTACCATTTATTCATTCATTCACTTAACAAATCAATTTTTCGTTTACATTTAATTTTCAGTTTTACAATTTAACCGTAAATTAATGCAAGACAAATATTACATGCATCAAGGAAACACAACTGAGTCATTTTACCAATTACAGTATATTATTATGCATTTAAAGCTGTAAAATAAAATAATAAGTTAAATATGACAAACAATAATAAATAACCGGTTCTGCCTCCATTAGTAACCTGTAATTAATTCTTGAAATTTTTTAAATTACGCAAAATACCATATTATTGATAATTAAAATTCAATTCTTTCAATTCTATAACAGGGAATAAGGTGAGCAATTCTTACTCGAATCAATGTCTGAAATATCAAACTTTCTACTACACCTACTGGTGGTCCCTAGGTATCCTAAATTTTCCTACTGAGATTAAAACACACTTCATATACCTAAAAATATCCCAAAAAACCTAAAATCGGTATTAAAAATTTTTTCTAATAAATTTTAGCATTTTGACATGGCGGCACCGCCGCCCATGACAGCACTTTGCCTCAGTCTGGCTGTTTTCGGCCAGTTTTATACTCATCTATGCGAAAAAATATGTTAGGGGGCATCGATTGGCTCAAAAAAGTCAAAAAAAAAATAAAAACTTACCAACGGAGGGATTTTTTGGCGCAGCGGCTCTGCCGCCTCATCTTCACGGCTGAGTATTTTTTTTTCGGTCAAACTATAAAAAACAGAATGATGAATACAATGGTGGAAAAATTGCATAAAACGGGAATTTGGAAGGGGCTCATCAAAAGCGGTTTTAGGTTTTGCCCACAGCGACGCCGCAGGGCTTTGCTCGTAATTTTCGGCTCATCCGTTGTTTCTTTTGCTTCGATTTGGCCATGAAGGTGTTCGAAATCAAATTTCAAGCAGATAAGAGAATTTTTACCTTTTTTGGCAATCGAAGGTGGCTCCGGCGCGGTGGCGGGCGGCGGTCGGCTCCCTTCTCCGGCGACTGGTTCTTTTTTTCCAGGGAGAGA